TCTCTCTCTCTCTCTCTCTCTCTCTCTCTCTCTCTCTCTCTCTCTCTCTCTCTTTTTGGTTTTTCGAGACAGGGTTTCTCTGTGGCTTTGGAGCCTGTTCTGGAACTAGCTCTGTAGACCAGGCTGGTCTCAAACTCACAGAGCTCCGCCTGCCTCTGCCTCCCGAGTGCTGGGATTAAAGGCATATGCCACCATCGCCCGGCCCAGAGTGCCGGGATTAAAGGCGTGATGATTCAGTGGCAGGGGCTGCTGGTGATTAGACAGCCACGGCGTTTGCACACTACACTATGCTGAATGCTTCTCTTCCAGAAAAGAGCACACATTCCAACTTTTGAGCAAAGCCCACCTATCATACTCACTCCTCAGAATAAAAAAAGAGGGTTGGACAGACAAAGGTTCACCTGGCCAAAGCTGCAGGAGGGTAAAATGTATTTTTAAAACTTTACTCCAGAGAGTCATCATCACTGTCTGGCCTCAAGGTGCCAACAATGCTGAGTGATTCATTTCCACATGCCAGCAAACTCTAAAACCCAACTAAACTCTAATTTTAGAGCTGAGGATCAATTCTGGCTGGCACAATGACAGGGCTTCTAGTTGTCTGGCCTACTACTCTTCAGCTTTATCTGACATGAAAAGAAGGACATACTACTTGGAAGACCCTGGGGAGCTCTACAGAGGACTCAGAGATGGTTTTCAATGCATGCAAACCAGTCACAGCAGCTGGATGACTTATCTACAGAAATTTTCATTTTGCTGGGGTTCCTAGAGTACCAAACCTAGGCAAGCACTCTGCCACTGAGCCATATCCCGAACCTCCAAGAGGAATCTCTTGTTTAGTTTACATTGCTATTATTTATTTCCATAAGTGTTCATGTATGTGTGCAGGCCACAGCACATGACTGGAGGTTAGCAGACAACTTTCAGGAGGTCAGGTCCTTCTAGCATGTGGGTGCCAGGTACCGAACTCAGGTGATCAAGCTTGCCAGCAAACACCTTCTTCTGCTGAGTCACCTCACAGGCCCAAGACTGACATCTGTGACTTAGGGCAGAAGACAAAAGTGAAAGAATTCCCACTTTGTGTCCACACACTGTCTCCTTCAAAGCCCTGGAGTGTCAAGTATGTTTGAACAAACATGGCTTTAACGTGTGAACATGAATCCACCCTTTCCCCATTATTTGTATCAACAAGATGTTGACTTGTTCTGTAATGGGGCTCACAGGCTCCAGACAGATACTTGAGCTGCCTCTGGTAAACCCCGGAACACAGTGGCCTGGGTTCACACTGGCTAGGTCATCATGTCCCTCTGCACTAAGCTAAGAATAAGGAGCATGTGATGGAAGCCCTGCATAAGATCAAGTTCAAGTTCACTAGCTGCCAAAAAATCCGTATTACTTCACAGAAGTGGGGCTTTACCAACTTTAATGCAAGTAAATCTGAAGATCTGGAGACTGAAAGGTAGGTCATCACCCAGTCTGTGATATCACAGCAGGCCCTGCATCGTGGCTCCTACATGGCTATACTACTTTCTGTATCATGCTTAGCAGTAAATCTTACACTCTACCCAAATAAATAATTTGAAATTGTATATAAAAGGCCTAGGCAGATATCGAAGGGACTTTAGGAAACAAAGGAGCAATTCTGCCTGAAGAGACCAGGACAGATGTGGGAAGAATGAATCCTGGGGCACTTAGCTGGGACAGACAGCCCCAATCTCCAAAGTTCCTTTTGCCTCTCCCTGGCCCCAGGGATCCAGGATCCAGACTTAAGACTCTAGGACAAAGCTCACTGTGGACAAGACCACAGCCCTAAGACTAAGCCCTGGAGACTAGAGCACAGCTGTGCTGTCTGGACACTACCCTACCACATTCCTCATCAGCAAGTCAGACAGTCCCCACAAGCCTGGTCCAGCCCTGACCTGCTGAAGCAGAGATCCTGGATGAATTAGTCTACAATGAAATACTTCTTACTTTAGCACTCGAAGCCAGATATATATATATATATATATATATATATATATATATATCAAAACAGGCCAAATCTGGGGACTTAGTCCTATAATCCCAGAGCTAGGGAGGCAGAGGTAGGAGGATCGTATGAAGTTTGCCAACAGCCTGGTATGCACGTCAAGTTCCAAGCCAGCCAGGGTTGTAGAGCAAGATCCTATCACAAATAGATAGATAGATAGATAGATAGATAGATAGATAGATAGATAGATAGATAGATAGATAGCAAGTAAAACATTTCTTCCTGGGGGCAGAGATCTGGCATCCAGGCCATCAGGGAGGCAGAGGCACAAGAGGACTGAAAGCTCAAGCCTGTCTAGCTAAAGGGCAAGGTCAGCCTGGGCAGGAGCCTGTGTGGAAAGTCTGTACAGCTCAGGGTAGAGCACGTGCCTAGCACACACAAAGCTCTAGGTTCCATTCTTATCAACACAAAAACAATACATGCCCTTAAACCTACGTTTTACCTATGAGAGAAAACATGTTTGTTTTTCTGAGTTCTAGCTTATTTTGTTCAACATAATGACCTCCATTTCTATCCATGAACATCCAATTTCATTTTTCTTCACAGCTGACTAGGATTTCAGTGTGTATGTGGACGGCATTTCCATATTCACTCATCTAGTGATGGATACTTCGGCTGCTTACTGTGAACAGTGCAGCAACAAACACGGGTGTGTAAAATCTCTGTGCTATGTCCACTTGGTCCTTCAGGAGTGGGACAGCTGGAGGAATGAGGATCTTCCTTACTGATTCCCAGTTTATCTAGCATAAAGGACCCGGGTTCAATCCCTGGCACCAAGAGAAAAGTGCAAAGAGATTGAGCCTGTGTGTTACTCCACCAACAACGCATAATCTATCACGCTGAGTTGTTGTCTAGTTATGAAAAGGTTTAGACCAACTGTGAGGAAACGGGAAACAAGAGTGCACAAAACAACACAGCACAGGGTCAAAGCTGGGACTGTCACCCCTACTCATTACCTTTTTCATTAATTCACTCCTGGTTATAAACTGCGGCAGGTCCTCCACTTCAATCCCATCAGCCATCTCCAGCACCTTGTCCAGAAGGTCTTTACTGTAACTGCACAACAAAAAGCAGTAAGGTGAAGACCTGGGAAGACGCACTGTCATTAGGGTAGGTTCTTAGACTGTAAACGCAATTCCTAGACTACAGAACTGTCTGTACATTAGTTAGATCACACTACAGCATCTGAGGTTTAAGCAATGCTCCTATCAGCCTTCTCAGTACCTGGGACTCCAGATACACACCATGATCTGCAAGGTGCTGCTTTGATACTTCAGGGGAAACTACAGTGTTCAGCACACGGTCAACAAGTGGCTCTCCCCGCCTGTGGGTACAGAACGAGGCCCGCAGACTGTCAACATGGTCGATGTTTGAAGAATTACAAACACAGGGAATAGAAGGATGGCTTAGCAGCTAGGAACACTTAAGGCTCTTGCAGAGGAGTTGGGTTCAGTTCCTACATGGCTATAATTTCCGTTCTCGGGGATCTGATGCCCTCTTCTGGCATCTGAGGATACTCGGTACATATCTATACACATAAAATTTTTAAAAAAAATTTTTTTAATTACAAAAACGGGAGCAGTTAGGAGCACTTGCTGCTCTTCCAAAGGATCCATCCATTTCGATTCCCAGCAACCACATGCTGGCTCACAACCATCTGCAGCTCCAGATCCATGGAACCCAGTGCTCTCCTGGTCTCCACTGTCATCAGGCTACTCACATGGGGCAGACACATGTGTGGACAAAACACACATCCGTATAAAATTGAAAAAAGCTGTAAATAAATAAAATTAGAAAAACAGAGCATCATACATCTGGTGGTAGTACATATTCATGGATGAGATTTGAGAGCCAAAAACTTTTTTTTTTTTTTCCTTTTTTGAGACAGGGTTTCTCTGTAGCTTTGGAGCCTGTCCTGGAACTAGCTCTTGTAGACCAGGCTGGTCTTGAACTCACTGAGATCCACCTGTCCCTGCCTCCCAAGTGCTGGGATTAAAGGCGAGCACCACTACTGCCCGCCAAAAACTTATTTTTAAAACACAGAGAGTATTGGTCTAATGAAAATAACAGCATTCGTTCCTTTGTTCAGCTCAGTTATCTGTCTGAACTTGGCTCCTGTAAACTAAGATTTCTGAGGACACCTTACAAGGCAAAGGGAGGGTGGGCATACGTGGGTGGTGCATGTCGGGCACAGCTTCCCCACATCTCTTTCTAACAAATATCAGAAACCAAGTACCTTCAGGGCTGGAGGTACTCAGAGGTAGAGTACTTATTTGGTGCCAGGGTCTGGGCTTCATCCCTAGCACAAAACCCAAAAAGCAAACCAAGTGGTTTGTCCTGGAGGGGCCATGTGACCAGCTAGAGGATACAAAAATCAGATCTGAGTCAGGCGGTCCTATTTTAACACAACTTAAGGAAACTTTAGAAGCCTTTATAAGAGCTTGGAGATGCACGCATAATTGCAGTATATGGAGTTCCAGGACTATCTGGGCTATATAATAAACTGAAGGGTCAGCCTCAGTTAAAAGGAGACTGCCTTTAAAAAGTTTTAAAAAATGAAAATTAAATAAAAAACCATAAAGGAGTGCAAAAATCTAGTGCTTTTTTTTCCCCCGGTGGACTAAAGAGAATGCCTTGCCAGGAATCTCTGGCCCTTGCTCTTGGCCTCCTGGTGTGATCGCAAAGGTCCTGGGGGCTTTGGGACAGCACTAAGAAAGTACTATTCCTTTCTTAAGAAGGAAAGCAAAGAGGAAAACGAAGAGGCAAAGATTACATCCTGTCTTAGCGGTGATATCCACCAGCCAACGGTGCGATATATCACATCCTCTTGCTAGTGTCTTCATCTAGAGGGGGAGGAGGAAGTCTCAGCTTCGGTCTGCACTTTTGCCATGTGGGTGACAGGAACTAATGGACTTCAAACACACTCTGCAAAGGCACTCTTCCGGGATAATAAAAAGTGATAAAAAATGACACCAGCAATGCAGCCATCCTCGAGCCCACCTGCATAGCACTGCTGCAGTCATCGCAACCACCCAGTCACCAGAAGAGAGCGAGGCTCAGAGAAGAGCTATGGCTTCCCCGAGGGGTTGCTAAGCGGGAAGCAGCCAAGGCCGTAGGAGGCTGGGCCGGGTTCAGCGTGGGGTGGGGTATGGCCAAACTGGGGTCGGTAGATGGGGACGGGGACAGCCGGCTGGCGGGGGTCCGCACCTGCAGCCCAGAAAGAGGTGGTTGGCCCAGACCATGGAGAGGGACAGCAGCTGGTCCAGACGGCCGCCGCCGTCGGGTGGGTCTCGGTAGTCAGGCAGGTGGCGCAGGATGAACTCCATGCGCGCTTTCCATTGCTTCTCGCTCTCCGAGTAGGAGCGGAACTGCTCGGCGAAGTCGGCCGCCTGCCGCACCCCGGAAACTAGCTTCTCCACTGACGCGGCGGCCTCGCCACCCACCATGGCTCCCGCCGCCACCACCACCACCGAAGATCGCACTAGCCCGCCGCCTTCCCGACACGCCCCGCGCCGCCCCTGCCGCTGCCGCGCGGCTAGAGCGGCCTCGACCGAGCGCGACTGCTCTGGAGGTCTGACTTGGAGCGCCCTCGAGGGGCACGGAGGCCTAGTGTGACCCAGAGCTGCTAGGGCCGCTGCAGACAACTGCTGGGGAAACTGAGGACTACAAGCACCGAGGCGGCAGCTGGGTGCCCCCTGGGGCTCTGCAGTGCTCCTTTTGTCCTGGAGTGTTCCCAAGGCAACTCTATCCTCAGCCACAGCTGAGGCTTGCCCTTCATTCTACGGATCTCCCTGGGGAGTGATGGCCTCTCTTTTATGGATCCACTGTGGTCTCAGGCTGTGCCCTACCTTCCTGCAGAGCCATCCACCCAGTGAGTACCTGCCAGGCACTTAGGTGCCCAGGATGTCCCGCTGTAAAGGTCTTTGTGAGGGAGATAGACGGTAGTGAAAGAATTACCCAAGTAAATGGGACTTTGGCAAATCATAAAAGAAGTCAGATTGCCACAAACCTGAAGAAACAAGGAACTGCCCCAGTCTTGGAGGTATGGAAATGGTGGTGGAGACCTGAAGAACACCGAGTTCAATCTCATGGGGAAGGAGACAACGAACTCCTGAAAACTGTCCTTTGACCGCCACATGAAAGCTGTGGTATGTGGGTGTCTACACAACACACTTGTGCGCGCGCGTGCACACAAACACACGGGAGAGGCGGGGGTGGGGGTGGGAGAGAGAGACAGAGACAGAATAAAGAGAAGAGAGACAGAATAAACAAATGTGAAAATATAAAATGTGCGGTTGGGTACAAAGGAAAGCCGAGAATCAAGGGTCTCAAGCTCCAGTGAAGGTCTTAACTTGGTGAATGGGCCCCAGAGTAAGAGTTCATTATATAATATTTCTATTACAGATGCTTCCCCTCCACCACCGTCTGGGCTATAACTTTTCTCCCTTCTGCAGTTTCTGTTTCAGTGTCAGGACCCCAGCAAGTAGAAATGTCATCTCGTACATGGTCCACGAATGCCAGGGTAGCGTAAGGACCAGTACCATGCTGGGTGACATCCCATTCATCTCAAAAAGGCATGCCCCTCACCCTCTGGCAGGGAGCCCCTGAACCAAGCATGAGAACCCAGAGGCAGAAGCAATTTCTCCCCAACCATCAAGGACCCAAATGATACCAGCAAGCAAAGCCGAGTTCCCACGGAGCAGGTGACATGCCTGGCAAGCCTACTGCAGTGCCAGATTCCCAGGTCAACCCTGGATACTCAGAGTCAAGCTTCCAGGAAATTCTGATTCTAACTTCAGCAATCCAGACTTTGAAAACATTCAGTGTGCCTGTCATAATGGCAGCCACCTTTTGTCCCAGCTTCTCCATGGGTCGAGGCAGGAGAATTACTTGAGTCTGGAAGTTTGCAATCATCCTTATCATAGAGACCCTCATCTCTTAAAAACATTGTTTAGGGGTCGCTGAGCTAAATTCTTGGCCTCTCGATTGTATACTGAGGTGGTTGATTCATAAATTAGGACACAGCCTGGAGAGATGGATGGTTCGGCAGACGAGAGCACTGGCTGCTCTTCTAGAAGACTGGGCTTGGTTCCCAGCACCCAATGGTGGCTTACAACCATCCACAACTGCTTTGATGTTTCATTCTTAGCAACACAAGCCACAGACTTAAGATTCTTCTAACTCCGTGTTGGAGATACAACTCAGCAGTTAAGAGCACTGACTGCTCTACCAGAGGACCCGGGTTCAATTCCCAGCACCCACATGGCAGCTCACAGCTGTCTGTAACTCCAGTTCCAGGGGACTCAGCACCCTCACCCAGACATATGTGTGGGGCAAAACATCAAAGTCTATTCAAAAAAATCCTTATGCCTCAGCCTCCCCAGTGCTAATATTTTAAGTGTGCTCCTCCAGGCTATTGGGTTTTGATATAAATTTTAGCATCTATTCGTTGACTCCTAGAAAAACAGTCTATTAGTATTTCATGTGGGATTGTGTTAAATATACAGATCAATTTGAGGAGAATTAACATTTTTATCAATATTAAATCTTCTAATTTTCAAACATGGTAATAATGTATCTCTCCATTTATTTAGGCTTTCTATGTGTGTAGTTTGTTTTGCTGTTATTTTATTTAGTGAGTTTTCGAGATGAGGCTCTCTTTCTGTAGCCCAGGGTGTCCTAGAAATCTCAACCTTCTTGCCTTAGCTTCCTAAATGTTGTGTGACTGTTGTGGTGTGTGTGTGTGTGTGTGTGTGTGCTCTTGAACACTTTTAAAGACAGGGTCTTGCCGGGCGATGGTGGCGCACGCCTTTAATCCCAGCACTCGGGAGGAAGAGGCAGGCGAATCTCTGTGAGTTCGAGACCAGCCTGGTCTACAGAGCTACTTCCAGGACAGGCTGCAAAGCCACAGAGAAACCCTGTCTCGAATAAACAAAAAAAAAAAAAAAAAAAAAAAGACAGGGTCTTATGTAGTCTAGGATTGCCTTGAACTCCCTTTGTAGCCGAGGCTAGTTTTGAAATACTGATCCTTCTGCCTCCACTCACCAAGTATTAGAATTGCAGGCATGAGCCACTACATCTGGCTTTATGGTTGGTTGGTTTGTCTGTTTTGTCTGTTTTGAATGTGAGAGCTATTAGCAAACATGATTGGCAGAATGTGGAACTCCGCACAGCAGTAGCCCTCAGGAGTTCAGGGCCTCCACTAGTCCAGGGGCTCACATATAGGCATGTATTTAGCCCCGCAGACATCAGGGATGTGCTGCTTCTCAGGTACGATGTCTTCAAATTTGTCTGTATTAAACTGGGTGAAGCCCTACTTCTGGTAGCCAGGGAACGTGAACCTGGCCTTTCCCAGAGCCTCAGACACATGTTCCTTATTCTGAAGCTTAAGCAGATGGACCTGATGACCTGACTTATGTGAAACTGTCCCCTGTATCAGGTCTGGAGCGTAGAGTAGGAACAACAGGAGCTCAGAGATGTGCGTATCCACCAGAAAACTCTATCTCAAAGGCCCCTCGGGGCAACCCAAACAAGGTCCAGGCGGAACACTCCCAAGCAGGCTGCTGCTCGCAACCGTTGCACACAGGGCTCCATGAGAAGAACCTAGTCGGCCCAGTGGGCTGCAGAGGGAGTGTATTTTTATGTCCCATGAGCCATTAGACGTACACACCTGTTCCTATTTTGTTTGTTATTCCATATATATCTTTTGCACCATCTGGTTCATTGTCTTTTTTATTATTCAAAACATCTATTTACTCACTGGAAATGATCAAAGTAGGAAAAGCAGTAATGCATCTTTTTCTTACATGATCTTCTTAAGTTCCAGTACATCAACGAACAAAGTAGGCTTAACATGTCACTTAATATAGTTCAGCATTATCAGCTTTGAAAGAAGCATCCTTAGTAACAAGTCAAAAATATGGAACACTTCACAAATTTGCATGCCACCCTTGCACAGGGGCCATGCTAATCATCTCCGTAATTGTTCCAATTTTAGCAAGTGTGCTGCCCAAGCCAACACATGGTTTCTTCTTCTTTCTTCTTCCTTTTTTTCTTCTTCTTCTTCTTCTTCTTCTTCTTCTTTTTCTTTTTCAAAACAGGGTTCCTCCTCCTCCTCCTCCTCCTCCTCCTCCTCCTCCTCCTCCTCCTTCTCCTCCTCCTCCTCCTCCTTCTTCTTGAGGGTTTCTTTGTGTAGCCTTGACTGTCCTAGAACTTGCTCTGTAGATCAGACTGGCCTCAAATTCACAGAGATCCACCTGCCTCTCAAGTCCTGGGATTAAAGGCATAGACCATCACCACCCAGCTGGTTTTGTCTTATTTATACTTGAAAATTTAATATGCAAACATCCTTTTAATCACAACACTCACGAGGTGGAGGCAGATGGATCTCTGTGAGTTCAAGGCAGCCTGATCTACACATGAAGTTCTAAGCCAGAAAGGGGTTTCTAGTAAGATCCTGTCTCAAAAACAAAACATAATAACTCCTACTTCCTTTACTTACTTAAGTTTAATTTTTATTTTAAGACAGGGTCTTATATAGCCCAAGTTATCCCTAACACACTGTATAGTCAAGGATGATCTTGAACTTTTGATCCTGGTACCTCTGCCTCCCAAGAGCTGGGGGTTCAGATAAGTACCACCACATTTGATTATGTAGTCTTCCACTGAATTTTAGGCTTCACCAACCATGTGTTTTGTGTTTTTGTTTTTTGTGTTTCTTTTTTCCTTTTCCTACTCCTTCTCTTTTTCATCTTCCTCTTTCTCCCAAGATTATCTCCTGAAATAGTCTCACCAGCTCTTTAGGTTGCAAGCATGAAAACGCTGAGCTGATTCTAGGAGACACATTAGAAGCTCATCTTGCTCTCTCAGTCAAACTGTTTACTGTTGGTTTTGCCATTTGGTGGCATTTTGCACATAGGCTTCTTCAGAATACAAAGTTTTGAACTTTCTGGGTCTGGGTTACCTTACTAAGGATGGTTTTTTCCTAGTTTTATTCATTTGCCTGAGAATTTCATGATACCATTGTTTTTAACAGCTGAGTTCTACTCCATTGTGTAAATGTACCACATTTTCTTTATCCATTCTTCAGTTGAGGGACATCTAGGTTGTTTCCCAGGTTCTGGCTATTATGAAAAAAGTTGCTATGAACAGTTTAGCAAATGTCCCTGTGATATGATTGAGCATCCTTTGGCTATATGCCCAAGAATGGTATAGCTGGGTCTTGAGGTAGATCAGTTCCTAAATTTTTTGAGAGACCACATATTGATTTCCAAAGTGGTGTACAAGTTTGCACTCCCTCCAGCAATGGAGGAGTGTTCCCTTGCTCCACGTCCTTTCCAGCATGAGCTGTCACTTGTATTTTGAACTAAATATGACTAGAGAAAAAAAAGTCAATGTAATGATGCTTAATGAAATTCTGCTATTATTATTATTGTTATAAATCCTCCTGCCTCAGCTTCTCAAGTGTTAGCATTACAGAAAAGGGTTTTTTTTTTTAAGTTTTAAGACAAGGTCTCAC